CAGGGCAGGCCCTAAAATTAAGATATTTTGCTACTGCACACCTAATTCCATACCAAAATATTTTAAAATAATGAACAAATAGTGATTGTCTATACTCTATGGCATATATAACTTCATTGCATAATTTATTGTTTTTGCTATTTATTAATAATATAAGTTATAAAAAATACAATCTAAGACAATCGTTTATAAAAGTCGTTGATACCTATATGGCTATATTACTAAACATTTTAAAATTAAAAACGAAATAGGTAGCTTGGGTTAATATACTAATTATATTATAAGCCGCCCCGAGTATGGTGTAGTCGGTATGATTTTTAGTGTTAAGTAATATTAGTAATTTTCAATAATCAATATGAAAAGCCGGTTGGCTTTAAGCTTATAATAATAAAAAAAACCTATAATAAATTCCAAATTAATCTTATCACAATATCCATTAGGTACTTATAACGCGTCATACATTAACAACAAACCCTGATACTATCATAGATAAATAATAGTATACTTTAGAAGTTTCAAGTACCCACGAATAATTTTATACAGTTATTCTAGGTTTTTAAAATGTAATTTCGTCCAAATTTTAACTTAAGATGACTATAAAAATAAACTGTGTCTATGTCTTTTTTAAGTTTTTTTGGTAACAGAATTAACTACTTACGTGGAATCTTGTTTTAAGTTTTCAATCATTAGATATAAAAGTTGAACATTTTATACATTTTTAACTACAAAATAATATTATTCAATTTCAAATTTTATAAATTTTGTCAAAATTCGATCTTTATAAATGCTAGTAAAAAAAAATTGTGCCTATGTATTTTTAATAATTTTCAACTGCTATTGTAACAATAGATCAGGAGCCTTGTATTACATTTTTACACTTTTTGGCGCAACAGATAACACTATATATTGATATTTATAAAAAAAAAAAAAAAATTAAATATGAAATTGTCCGCAAATAGCTCAAAACAAGTCAAAATATTTTGAAAATTTTTTCAAGTTTAAGAATTGATAAAATAAACATTCAGTGAAATTCAATTTTTCATGTATTTACAGTTGTTCATTTTTGAATTACAACAAAATAAGAAAATCGCTACATGAGAAATCGAGTGAATATCTAATGTTGTAACAATTTGAATTTCAAACGCTAAAAATATTTAATTTTACTTTCTTATAGACATTTTTTTTTTTTTGACAAAGGTAAATAATCTTATAAGGAATCTTGTATTACATTTTAAAATCTTAGATTTAAAAAGAAAAATTGTTACGAGTTCTTAACTCAAATAATTTGCTAATTTTCGCGATTTTTCCATATTTTGTCAACTTTTGAACTCTAAATGCTTATGAAAAAAAAACTGTGACTAAGGATTTTTAATATTTTTCAAATTTAATTGTAACAATATAGTATACTTTGTATTAAATTTAAGTATTTTTACTCAACAAATAAAGGTTTGTTGACATTCATAGAAAAACTAATAAAATTAAAAACAGAAAATGTCCCTAAACAGTTCAAAACAAATCAAAATATTTTGAAAATTTTAGAAAATGCAAATATAAACAACCAGTTAAAATTGCATGTATCTACGGCCCATTTGTTTTAAAGTTACACCAAAAACCAAATTCGATTTTGTTAAATATCGATTTTAAGTAAATATTCCCGTTTTCCTTAATTTTTCTTTTGTTTTTCTTCGGCGCTTTTGAAAATTACTGTAAATTTTAAATTTTGACCTCCCCAATGCACCAACTATATTCACTTTCTAATCGAACAAGATACGGAAGTTGAAAATCGAAGCATTATTTCGATTACTTATCGTGTATACACACAAAAAAAACACACATCATTGTAAAATCTATACATTCATCGTTCCACTTAGAATCTAAAATATTGAATATTAATGGAATAAAAATTTAAAAAAGCAGAAAATAAATACTGCACACTTTTAATTTTGCTACTACACATTTAATATTAGCTACTGCACATAGTGTGTGGTACTGCACACAATTTTAGGCCCTGATACAGGGTGACATATAAGAATCGATTTTCAATATTTCATTCTCAAAATCGATAAAATCGTTTTCAGTTATTTTCACTTTTTTACTTATGAATAATTGGTATAAAAAAATTAAAATATCAAAAATCGAGTCTTATACGTCACCCGATATAACTCCTCTACAACTTTTAATTGAGGTATTTTGCTCTAAAACCATTTACTTATCGTATTATTGGAACAAAATTGGAATGTTTTTGTACGGTATTTTCGCTGGTTTAGCGTCAATGTTATATTATTGTCATTGAATAATAAAAATAATAATATTTATTATAATCAACGGTAATATGGTAATACATACGAAAATATTAGTAAGATAAAAATTAAATACATAATTGGTATGTCTATATTGATATTTTTACAAACTAAATGTAAATCGTAAGTTATTGTACGTAAAATATTGTTAACTCGAATACTTAAAATCTTTGTACAACAATTTGTACGGTAAAAACTAGATTTTCTAGCTAACATAATATTGTTATATACAAATAGGTATACAATTGGGCTGACAGCGGCTTTAATTAAAAGATGGTTAGTGTAGGTATAAGAGCGAATATGGTGGCAATGCATTTACGTGTATGAATTTTATTTCGACGGGATATGTCACGGACGAACGTTCGTCGTTCATAAGATAATAAACAACGCTCCCGAACTCGACAACGCGTCGGTCGGTACGCGGCTGTGAGTAATGGGCGCGGCTAAAACGTCGCGTGCTTGCGGATCACGAAAACACCTAACAGCGCATTCTCTTGGTCATTGCATGGTTTCGTTTGCCCGTGTGGCGTCCTCTTAACATCAGCATTTTGTTGTTTTTTACCCTGTCTAAACTCTAAAGCACCTATGGTATTATCTTAGACAAATTGATTTGAATTCAACTGCAGTAGGTAAGAAAATTATAGGTCTCGTACCTATTCTAAAAACTTATTTTAATTTAATCTGACTAATAATTTAATAATTTCTTAACATCAGCATTATGTTGTTTTTTATCCTGTCTACACTCTAAAGCACCTAAATTTAGTATTAAGTTTTAACACAATGATGATAATTAAAATTAATCACAATTTTTAAAATATATTTAAAGTTGTTAGGCACGTCAGTAAAAGAAATGGATACCATTCAGGCTTCATCTTGTGAAAATAATCTAAAGCAAATTCTGAAATCAAATGACTCTGAACCAACTAATTTTAGAAATGACTCTCACTCTGTAAGAATACTGGAAAATTTACAATCTCTACGCAAGTATGTTTACAGTGATTTTACCTTCATTCAAAATAAATATCACTTACATTTTTGTTTTTAGAAATGAGTTTTTATGCGATGTTAGATTTAAAGCAGATGATGGTAAAATTGTAATTGGACATAAAAATGTACTAATAGCAGCTAGTCCATATTTCCGTGCAATGTTTAGTAATTTTGACGAAAGCAATAAAGATCATATCAATATAAGAGAATTAGATTCCACAATTTTACAGCTATTAGTAGATTATATTTATACTGGAGAAATTATGGTCACAAAAGAAAATGTACAGGTACCTATAATTAAATATTTAATTTTATATAGACTTCAAACAACATATTATCATTTTATGTGAATTTTTTTTTTTATTTCTAAGGTGTTATTACCAGCTGCAAATGTATTGCAGTTAGATTATGTAAATGGTGTATGTGCTAAGTTTTTACAAAAACAACTGAATCCATCAAATTGTCTTGGTATCAGAGTGTTTGCTGACTTACATAATTGTACTGATTTGTTGTCAATTTCTGAAGCATATATTAAACAAAATTTTTTGTATGATTAACATTTTTTTTATTCTCTGTATCAAGAGCAAGTAGGTAATTTATTATAAAAATAATGATTATTATTTCCAGAGAAGTAGCTAAAGGCGAAGATTTTCTATCCTTATCTTCTGAAGATTTGGTGAAGCTTATTTCCTCTAATGACCTTGCTGTTCCATTTGAAGAAAAAGTAAGCAAACTAAAAATTGTATTTTTAATATTTTGTATGGGAAATCGACTTATGAAGGTTTACAAGTTGTACATGACAGTTGATGTCTAGACTCCACAGGAATCACTGTATCAGATTTGTTATATTTGAATTCAATGATATAAAATCATTGTAAAAATGTAAACGAAAAATGATTCTGAGCAATTAAGGTTTAATAATATTACTAGAAGTATATTTTATGATATTGTTAATAAACTAATATATTTTACTATTAGATATTATTAATACTGTATTTCTGGAGCAGTTTTAATTATTTTTCCAAAAAAGTTGCATATGAAAAGATCATTGTGTTCATACAATATAACAATATACTTTAAAATTTTAAGTTCCTACAAATAATATTTTTAAATTAAAAAAGCTTGATGACTATAGAAAATAATTTTATTGACTGTTATTGAATATAAACAAAACAATTTCTTATTTTAAATGTCTATAAATATTAATTAACTCTAAAATAGTTCTAAACTCTAAACGTTTTTTAAAATTAGTTAAAATCAATTGTATATTTGTATCTCCTTGATGATAAAGAAGTTTTGTGGTCGGCTCCGACTGTAATTAATTTTCTATAACTTTCACCTCCACGTACCACGATGATTAGTCAGTAGGCCCAAACAATTTCGCAGACGCAGCATATAAACCTTCTACTGCATGTCTATTTTGTGATTTATGTGTATTCAAAAATAACAAATAATATATATTATTTTATACCATTCAAATATAAGAATTATTCATTAATATTCCTTTGCTTAATATAAACAGTAGGAACATATGATCTTAAAGATCTATTATATTTTTGGGATCCTGTGATAATTATTCACTATTGAATGGTTGAACAAACTATTATTATTTTTTAATCTAGTTTTAAATATTTTTTACTGTAGGTATTTGAATGTGTTATCAAATGGGTAAAACATGATTCAGATCATAGAGTAGATTTTTTGCCAAAACTAATGGAACATGTACGTTTGCCATTACTAAAGCCTGATATATTATTTAATATATCTAAAGAACCTCTTCTAAAAAATAGTCATAAATGTATGTTATTTTCATAAACATGCCATCATTATGGATTTATACTTTTTATGAATGATTATTATAATTTTTTTAGGTAAAGATTATATAATCGAAGCATTACATTATTATCATCAAAAATCAGTTCAGCATTTCACCATTCCAAAAACAATTAGGTTTAAACCTAGACAGTTTGATGGTTTTCAAAAAGTATGATTCCAAATTGATTAATTTATCTTCACAATAATTTTGTCCATTTAATTATATTAGGTTCTTCTGATGTTCAGTAAGTCTAATACATCGCCAAAGTGTTATACTGAATGGTATGACCCAGCAACCAAGCTAAGAAAAAATGCACCAGGAATAAATGAATGTCGGAATTATGCTGGTTTTGGTGTGATAAATGATCAATTTGTGTTTGCTGTGGGAGGTGTAAATGGATCGAGTTCTAAATCTGTTAGTATGCTTGACGTATCTTCACAATCACCTTCATGGGTTCCAATGGCTGACATGTTAGTTAGTAGAAAAGAATTAGGAGTTGGTGTATTGGATGATTGTATATATGCAGTAAGTTAAATTAATATTTTACTTATTCTATATTAAAAATGTATATTATTTGTAATTCTAGGTTGGTGGATGTGACGGCAACAGTGTCTTAAAAAGTGTAGAGGTATTTGATATCAATTTTCAAAAATGGAGAACAGTAACTAGTATGTCTACTAAAAGAAGTGGATTCGGTGTTGGTGTACTCAATAATCGTCTATACGCTGTGAATATATATATATTATTCTTTATTTATTTATTTTACATTTTATTGAATTAAATTGTGTAGGTTGGTGGTGTTGCAAATGGTCAACCTCTTAGATCTGTGGAATATTATGATCCCACACTTGACATATGGACTCCGGTTGCAGAAATGTCTGAGCGTCGTCAAGGTGTTGGTGTAGGGGTTTTGGATGGTCTTATGTACGCAATTGGTGGCGATAATGCAATGGTGGATATTAAAAGTTTTGAAAGGAAGTATCTTAAAAGTGTTGAGGTTTACAGACCAAGTGATGGAGTTTGGTCTTCTATAGCTGATATGAATTTACGCCGATGTTTACCTGGTGAGTAGTGACTATGACAATTATATTTTTGTAGAATAATCTTTGTAAAAATATATTGAATTTAAATTACATTATCTTATAGGAGTAGCCGTATTAGATGGTTTATTGTATGTTTTTGGCGGAGAAAAACCTAGTGTTGATACTTTTGAAATTTACAACCCTAACACCAATACTTGGACCTTGGAAAAATTGTCAAGAAATGGAGTACAAATTTATGGTGGAGTAGTTGTCGATAGACCACATCATTATCATTAATCAGCTTACAGTAGTACTCATTGTTAATTAGTAATATGTACAAATTTTTGTGTAAATTATGATGACACGTGTATTGTTTTAAATATTTTTGTTATTTTGAATACCTATTTGGTAAGAATGTTTTTTTTATAATTTATACTAACTATTTTCAAATAAAAAAATTAAGCTATACTTAAATTATATCTATAATCTACTATTTAAATTATATTTTTTAGTTTCTTTGTGGAACGTTGTAGTGTGTACACATTAAAAATGTACTTGAAATTTGTAGCAAATGATTATTTCATCATTTTATACACAATATGATAAAATATTCAAAATATTTCGACTCGTATTAGGAGATTTATAGATTTTTTATTTTTTTTTTTATTTGATTTTCTATAAATGTTAATAATAAGAAAGCTTGAATACTTAATTCTTTGTTCCTCATACGTTGTTATGGTTACAGTTTAAAAATGTTATTAATGTATGAGCACAATTTTTTTATAAGCATTTTACTTCAAATTTTTAAAATACTATGCTGTTAAAAACGTATAAGTTGTTCAATTTGTATAGGTATGGATTGAAAATAAGGTTTCTACTTTCCTGTAAGTTATTTATATTGTATCTAAAAATCTAATAAATGTATAAATCCAGTTTTTTTTGTGATAGATTTTTTAAGCTCAAATTTCAGACGATACTTCACAATTAAATAAAGAGTCACTATTTTAGTTGTTATGTTGTAATTTAAAAAAAAAATATTCATGAATTGGCAATTGATATTTTAAAGTATATTATTATATTTTTTAACCTTCATTGACATTATCAAATGCAATTTTTTCCATTTAGGCTAATGTACCTTAAATAATACTTCAATTTAATCTAATTGATACACTTCTGACCAGGGGCGGACAGGGCCGGCGGATTTTAGTGAACTTTCCTGGTATGTTGCTGTTCAAAATAATTTATTATTATATATTTATAATAAAAATCGGTATAAATATAAATTATAAGAGTGTTCATTTTTGTTAAATGGATTATTTTAGGTTTTTGAGATTTTAGATTTTGGTTCAGCTGATTGTCCTCCCCCTTCGGCATCAATGCATCATCAGAAATTATTATTTATGGGAGCGGATTTAAATATAAATTGTATTTTTTTCTGAATTTTTTAAAGCATTGCAGCAAATTGTTTGTCCTTTGTAGGACATTTTTATGGTGAGAAGGTATTTTTCGTAAATTGTATAAGGATACATAAATTAGTATGAAACCCTCATTTGTTAAAACTTTGGTACCATTTATACATTTTAGATTCTGAGTGAAACGATGAATGTATTGATTTTACAATGATGTGTGTTTTTTTTTTTATTTTTATTTGTGTCTGTGTACACGATAAGTAGTCGAAATAATGCTTCGATTTTCGACTTCAGTATCTTGTTCGATTGGAAAGTGAATATCGTTGGTGCATTGGGGAGGTCAAAATTTAAAATTCCCAGTACTTCTCAAAAGCGCCAAGAAAAACAAAAGAAAAATTAAGGAAAAACGGGAATTTTTACGCAAAATCGATTTTTCAGAAAATTGAATTTGGTTTTTGGTGTAACTTTAAAACAAATGACCGTAGATACATGAAATTTTCACTGGTTGTTTATATTTGCATTTTCTATACACGATAACATTTTCAAAATATTTTGATTTATTTTGAACAGTTAAGGGACAGTTAGGTTTTTTACGATTATCCAGTTTTTAAGTGAGTTATGAGTATTTATCAAGTAATGCGTGTATTATAAATTATAATTTAGCGTAAATTAAAAATGCTCATAACTAACTTAAAAACTGAATAATCGTAAAAAAACAACATACGTCTGCTGAGCGTAAATTTGCTATGTTAAGCACTTGTAAGACAGAAACACAACATGCTGGTGTCCTCTTAACATTAACATACTGATTGAGGAATTCAAAATTATGGGAAATCGGAGAATTCATTTATGATTCATCTTTAATTATAATTATTACATATTTCCACATTTACACAGTAGGTATCTACTAAATATATACATAATATATTATACATTATGTATTAATATAATAGGTATGTATACAATTTTCGTTTGTTAAACAAAGCTTTTTTAAATTTTGGGTAATGTGTTTTCTTCTTTTATATACATAATTATTGTATTTATGTCATTTGATTTTGAAAAATTATATTTCAACAAATTAGCACCTTAACGTTGTGTGCACTACAACTTGACAATATTTAAACATATAAATATTACATAGTTATTAATTTACAATATTATAATGTATATGGATTTACCTTAGTAGGGTAATAAAGAGAGTTCAAACAGCTCATTCTGCTGGCTCATCCCTATACCCGTATGCTCATCCCATTACACCGTTTGCTCATGGCACTATCTATACCCGTCTGCTCATCCCACTATACCGTCTGCTCATTCCTATACATTGACGGCTGATGAACCCACCATATATCACACACGATGTACCCCCGCCACCCCACCACCTATGACCACCGCGCGTGGAAAATAATTTAAAAATTTATCCGCCGGACGGTGATTCGAACCCGGTTAACTTGCATGACAAGCGACAACCGTACCACTGGGCCGCCTACTCGCATCTGTTTGAGAAGGTATATTCTATCTCATTTAACCGGCGTCCGCTTACGTATGCGAGGTATAATTTCCCCCACCACTATACCATTTACCCCCTCCCGATTAACCTGTAGGGACTTTTCGATGTCTCCCCCACCAATTAATATTTAATTTGCTCGTTTATGAACACAACTACACAACATAAATTCAGTCACTCTATATAATCGTTCCAAGTGTTTCGCGTGTGCTTGTCTCATATTCAGTGTTAAAATCATAATTATTTCTCAGTGCGTAAAATAAATATGGCTGGTCCAATTGAAAATATGGAAAATATTTACAAGAAAACTTACAAATATACACCACCATCGCCGCCAGCTAATCTGATCGATTGTACTACATTCTTTATTGATAGCAATATTTTTATAAATATAGGATTAGATCCTGATTTTTTGTTTAATTGCGTTATATACATCTCAAATAACTCGCAGTGTGTTAAAATGAGTATTGAATTCTATAAATCTCTAATTAATATAGCTCTTAACTACATCAATTTTTCACGACCATCTCATTTAATGCTGAAGGAGCTTAAATTGGCTTCAGTAGATCAATACAACGGTGACAACGTTCTCTCGATAAAGTGTTTGCAACAGGATCAACATGTACAACTAACTAAAGCAAATGTTTCAAGGATCTTGCAATTAAGTGATGCCGTGGAAGAAGTTATTCAGATGAAAAATATATATATACGGCCTAGTGTATTAGGTCAGTCCTGTGGTATTTCAAGGTATCTTGGAAAGGAAATGCCGTTACCCAAAGATACAAAAATAAGCGAAGCTGAAGATTATTTATACCGTATCGATGTCCAAGAATTGAAAAAACAACTTAAGTTAACTGGTCGTTGTTTCGTAGCAGATTTGAAAATCAAGGCAGTCAAACAATTGGCAAGGGGATGGTTAGCTTCTTCGAACGAAATTGAGGTAATACGATTTTATTTTTACATATTATTTTATACTAAAGAAAACAAATTTTTTTAGTCTGAAGTAACCAGACCGAGGACGAGGGCATTCGTAGCACGTGAAACCGCAAAAGCAGCCCGGAGATTAAGTTTTCGTTAAGAATGTAATATTTTATTGTAATATGTAATTTTTATATTGCTGTCAATAATTTGTATTATGTAATTTTTATATTGCTGTAAATTATTTAAAAACGTGAACCATTAATGTAATATTTTATTGTAATATGATATTTTATTACTTATATATAATAAAAAAAAAACAACGTGATATTTAAAAAAGTATTTTTATTTTACAAATTATTTACAATTTCCTTAAGATATATAAGTAGAGCAGATTGTTGTAATATATTGTGTAAAATAAAGAACTAAAAAAAAAACATTAAAGATATGGTACATTATCACACATATCTAAAAATATTAGACCATTTTCAGATTATAATCCCATTCGAATAAACATCTCGCTAAAGCATACACCGGAATGTATCTCAAATATATTATAATATAGTTTACATATATAGGTACATACTTACATAATTTATATCCAAACAATAATTATATTATACTCATCATTATCACAAACTCCTGATCATATTATACAATTTACATAATATATACGATACTTAGGTATATTTATACATATAAATATGATATGACCAAACACTTAAAAACTATAATATACTATGAAACACACGATACCATACGGTACTCATCAGTTTTCATTCTGAACACACGCTCAACATATATATATATACCTTATCATACATACAAGCATGCATACACACACACACACACACACACACACACACACACACACACACACACACACACACACACACACACACACACACACACAAACAAGCCACCCACTCCTTTATTCATTCAATTACATATGAACTCTTATACACATACATACATACATATATACATAAATTCAGTCACTCTATATCGTTCCAAGTGTTTCACGTGTGCTTGTCTCATATTCAGTAGGTTAGTAATGGTTTGAACACTATACCATACGGATATTAGTACACCCGATATATAGGACAATCCGACGACTCTGTATTTTGTCACGTGACGGGGATCAGTGGTGGCGGCGGCGGCGGTAGGGATTTTTGAATGAATGAATAGTCGCTATTCATTACTGTCCTCAGTTGGTGTTATAGTGCTCTATTACCTACATCTCGTTCGCTCTATGCTAATACTACGCACGTAATTATTATATAACGTATTAATTTTTTCTTATCCGTTTATTTTAAAATGTTTAAATGCGAGCAATGTTCTTTGGGATTCGTATACGAGTCAAATCTGATCGCTCACCGAAAAACACATTCGAAATTGTTCAAATGTAGCAAATGTGCTTCGGAATTTACAGCGAAACGTAATCTAACAAGACACCAAAAAAC